AGTTCATTTGTTACTCAACCAAATACACAGAATATCTTTCATACATTTCTGTTCTTTGTATTCCTATTTTTATTTTTGCCCCTTTAAGTGTTTTCGTTTGGCTTCAAAAGATTTAGACCATTTGAAAAATTTTAAGTTGTCATTAAAATTAAGGCTACTAATACAAATCCAATGAAAAGACCAAAAGCAACAATGTGTCAGTGCCTCACCAGAAATGTTTCATAGCGGTGGAAAGGTGGCTGAAAATCTTCTATAGGTGTAGTGCTGCTAGAGCACACCGAAACATTCACTTTATTCATTAATTTACTATTCATTTATGATGCAAAGAAACATCACAAAGTCTGTAAAACTGTACCTGCTTGTGTTGCGACCAAAATGCCTGCAGGAAATGAAAGCTAGCTTGGCTACATTTTCCTTTGACCGGGTGGTCAGTTATTATTATATTATCATCATTGACTAATAGGGCTTTTTACATTAGCACTTTTAGCCACGCCAAGCCATTATTTCCATTATTAGTTTAAATGCGCCTAGCCACTCCTGAGATGGACCTTCTCTGGAGTAGGCCGAAGCGTGCCCGACCCACCTCCAAGTGAGTGGTGGTGACAGTAGTTTTAGTTTTGTACACCACTTAAATAAGTGCATGGTTGCAAGATAAAAACTATATAAGTTGTAACAACATTGCAAGATTATTTTGATGGAACAATGATGATGGAATAGTTGGAACCTCATAACCTCGTAGCCTCATCAATTAAAAAGTTTACTAACTGTTTATGCTAACGAATTATAAAGTGTTCAATAAAAATACCTTGGATTGTAGACGTTTTCCTCTACTAATTCCCCTAACTCAATGCAGTACATAAAGATTAATGCAGACTGGTAATTCTTTGTTTTGAGTGTAATTCCAAAGAAAAGCACACTCACTCCTACATTTCATTGAGAAAAATAACTGCTTGTTCTTGTACATTTGCACAATTTAACATTCAAAAACAGACACTATAAATAACGTCTTTACCTGGAAGCAGTTCATCTCTCACTGTTTAGCAGAGTAACCCTGATTCTGTCTCGCAGCTTTCATGTATCTCGCCAAGGCCGATCAATACCTCATCAGCACCTTGTAAGGTTGACGTGCTGCTGGGGGAAATAACAAACAGTCGGAGCGGCTGCAGAGAGGAGTAAAAAACCCAAATATTCAAACATTACGGTGTCTGCATTTCAATTTTTCTTTCAGTGTTGAATATTTAACCTATTGGCGGTGTGTTTTATTTTCAATTTTTATTTTATTTGAATGTTTTGCTGTAAATTGCCCGCACAGCAGCACATTTCAGATTTTAAGGTGTTTAGTTGTTAGCAGGTGTTTTTAAACCTGGAGAAGACGGTGTGATGGATGTAGTATCTGTCAGCATTTTTTTTAATCCCAGTGATCTTTAGCTCCTTTAATTAGCCTGCACAGTGCAGGTTATAATTAAAATAAACGTGTATTTGATAAAAGGATGATGGTGTCAAATGTGCAAATAAACACAGGAGTAGAAGTGTTTGCGGGGTTAAATGAGTGGAAAGTGGTTATAAAAGTTTGGGGCAGGAGAAGTGACAGTTCTGATCTGCCCTGTTTTTTATTAGTTTATTTTCCACGTAACTGGTTTTGACCGAATGGCAGTGAACCATCTCAGTGATCTGACTGCAGTTTGGTCATTGCTCGGGCCATGATGGGTCTTCTATGGAAGCTTATTGCTGCCACATCAGAAAAATGGATCAGTGTCACAGATCAGAGAAATGTGTTGTTTACTGGTTATAACGTGAAAAACATATTGTTATAACAACAGCCAGCAGCAGACAGGTGCTGCTAGGCCGAAAGACGATAACGCGACTAATTATCACATGCTTTTCATGCTATTACAACATCCAAATGTATTAATTCAATTCAATTAAATGTTTACTTTAATTTAATTTAATTATTACTTTATAACAACATTTTTTTCTTATTATAACAATATACTATTCATCTTGTTATAAATTTAAATGTTTCATTTTATAACAAGAAAAGTTATCACATTATAACAGCTTATATTATCACTTAGGTTTTACGTTGTTGCAACAATTCTTGTTTTAACAATAAACTATTTCTCTTATGTCAAATTTTAGTTATCCCATCGCTTTAACTTTTTTTGCAGTAATAAGCTTCCGTAAATTCCAAACTAGTTGCATTGTCGTAAAATCCTGCAGGTACGTCCAGGTGTTGAACTGAGAAACATTCTGCTTCATATCAGTCTCTGTGTTTTCAGTTGGTAAAATACTGAGGATGTCTTTATTCTCTGTTCAGTCTGTATTCCTCAGACCGATGCAGTGATCAAAGGCCTGACCCGTGGCCCGTCATGTATCTGAGAAGAAAGAAAAAAGGCTAACTGCCTACAGTGGAGGGGACGCCGTGTTAACAGTCACATCCCTGATCCTCGGGCTTGATGTCTGCATGATTTCCTCTGTGTGTCGTCTGGCTCTCTGCTGTCGATCGCGCCAAGCTTCTCGTACATTTGTTTAGCTGTCAGTCATGTGAGTCAGCCTTCATCATCGTCGCCCCATCGCTCGAGGTGGGAGGGTGGGGGCTAGGTCGGGGGCATGCTGTGACCTCGTCAGACGACACAGAGAGAGACGAGACGGAGCAAGCAACTGGATCACGGCTCGCATGTCAATGCCGAACTGTCAGCGCATCTGTCCGTCCAATGTTGGGACAATACGGGACAGCACTTCACAGGCGGTCATATAATGTACTGGGAGGCCGAGTATTGGCGCGTTTATTTCTCCTTGTTTAATGATGCAGGTTCATGATGACATCTCAAAGTTTGAGATAACTCTTATAGAGTAACTTAAACCCTCTTCTGCTGAAACCCTGTGTAGAACCTTTGTATCTGGGTATTTACTAGTGTTGTTGATTGATTCAGGTCCAAATCTAAATATTTGAGGGCAAAATATTAAAATTCTACTGGCTGAAACTGGCTATTGCGATTGATGGTGATGCCACCAAACAACCCCTTCTTTTTAACTTAAAAAAATCTAGTTTAGTTTGTTTTACAACAATTTTGACACATCACATTACAGTGCAGCCGTAGAGTTAGCCTCTCTGAGCTGCTAGCTAAACTAACATTACAACACAGGTAGCAAACAGAAACTTTTACAAACAGCCATGAATGTGCTTCTAGTGACTGTGAAAGCTCCAGCTGACTCTCTGTGTTTCCAGCACACTCTGGCCGGTGTTACCTCCTGTGTCACACACTCCACTGGGAGGGAGGGAGGTATCAGACTTTAAACCAAGTAAAATTGCAGAAAATATTTTGATTCCATTTTGTATATGTGCAGGAAATGATGAGGTCAGTATTGTTAGTTCTGACATTGTCTACAAATAGCACTCAGTACTCTGAGTATTCTCTTATTTCCTTCTCAGCCTTTGGCTCTTCTTGCTTCTGCCTCCTGCTGCAACCGTCCTCTTCACCCACACTCGTCGTTTACAGCTACAATATACATGTTTTCACCTCGAGGGTTTGACATGTAATTGTTAGATCTAACCAATTTCTGTGCCCACAGGAGCAGAAAATAAACCAGGATGAACAGGCTGTGTTTTAGACGAAAGAGCGGGAAGTCAGGGAGTAAAAACCTGGAACGTGAATTAAAATAACACGAATAAGAGTTATGTAAGATGGAGATATGGATGGATGAACTATTAGAGGTGCTGTCTCAGGTGAGTCATGTTCAAGTGTGTATGTGTGATAATACCTACGGTCTATCTGGGCTTGGTAAAGGTTATGATGACAGGTGTAATATCTCCAAGTAGGAGAAGTGAAGTGTATTATGAGCGCAGGGCTGTGTCCTTTACTATAGGTTAACCTCATCACAGACAACATCATCTGCACACGCCACAACACGGATGGAAAAACAAACCCTCGTCTTCCCATCGATTCGAGCTAAGCCGCCTGATAAATGTTGTCATTTATCAACTCTTGGTTAAGTTCCCCCTCGAGGTCTTTACTGCGCATTGGTAACTAAGTTGTGTGGAGTTACACGAGTGTGTCAGTGTTTTCCTGATCTGGAAGCCAAATGAGTTAGAAAACATCTGGCAGGCTGAGCCCAGAGGACAGCGGGCGAAAAGACGTGACACGAGCTGATGTTTGTGTGTACACAGTCAGGCATTCAAAGCACTGTGAGTGAGTGTGTGTGTGTGTGTGTGTGTGTGTGTGTGTGTGTGTGTGAAGTGTATGTAAAGTGTGTGTCCTTGGTGATAAAATAACTCAAACTCAAAAACACAACAAAGAATTTATTGGAGTTTTTAACCACAGCCTGCTTTCTTCTTCTTCTGGACACATGCATGTTAGCATACAAATATTAGCATGTATGTGTGTGATATCTAGCTAAACTTTGCTATGCTAAACTTTAGCATACATGCTAACAACATATAGTTCATTGCTAGCATTCTAGACATTAACATATTAACAGCCGGTAGATATTATCATGTGTTTAAAACACACACAAAAACATATTGATTCAGGCCAACCAGTGACTTATGCTAAGCTAGGCTAATCACCACCTGTTTCCTAGCTTCATACTGAACACAGACATAAGAGTGACACTGATCATCTCATCTAAACTCTTCCTTTAAGTAAACATATTTATTTAACATCATTAATCATGTTTAAATTATCGCATTAAAGCTCTTTTCGTAGCAGTGTTGACATTATGTAGTCTGCTCCCTGTGGACAATCCCAAACTTTTCAGCAGCAGCAGGGTGACCCACACAACTTAAACAGCTCTGTGCTATCAGCTGCAGGATGCTGCACGCTATTAGTGTTATCACACGGTGGCAGAGCACCAGGCGAGCTCCAGGCGCTTTTGATAAGTGCAAAAGCACTCGCTCCGCTCTCCCCAATAAAGCTTTTGCTGCTCGACATTTTGGCAGGACAACCCATCACGGAAGCGGCGTAGGCGTAGTTGTTCTTTTGGGGAGGTGAACTTTTCAAACCGCAGATCAGACACGAGCTAGAACAAAAGGGGGAACGAAGCAGCTGCCATTCGGCGTAACAGCTGCTCCTCCACGATGGGAGACCCAAATGCAGTACGACGAACCTGAAGAGCTACTTCTCGTCATTAACCCTGTCTCTTCTTTTTCTTCTCTTTCTGCAGGCGGTGGAAACAAACCTGGCCTCTAAAGACAGCCACTGGGTGTTTGTGAACGAGGTAAGACGTGACACACAAACACATTCAGACACATAATTATCTCCTCCACCATATTAAAGGACATTATCGGCGATGTACAGGCTGTGAGGGGGGATACTGCGCCTCTTGTTAACCTGCCCCTATCAGCAGAGGGGGTTGTATAGTTGACTGTGTTAGTCTAAACGGATTATATCAAAAACATTAAGCACAACACAAATGTTTACACTCAAATTTTTTTTAAGCAGCTTTTATTGGTAAGTTACAGAAATATTCGTGATTAAGGACTTTTTACTACATATTGTGTTTTCACAGCACACATAAAAAGACAAAATTAAGTCAGTGTCACTTAAAATTACTAAAGCTACTTGATCAAGAATGTTTTTTTTACTTACGTTCTTGTTAATATTGCATCGTCTAACCCGAACCCTAGCCCTAACTGGATGATTTTTCCTTAATTGCCAATGTTTTTGTTTGGTTGGAGAATTTTGTATTTGTATAGATACACAAAAAGAAATGTTTTATGATTCCAGAGGAACTTTTATTTGGCACCAACAGAGTTCAAATGTCTTCAACTCAAACAAAATAGGCTCTCAGGACGCCAAAAACACAGCTGAACTCAAGGTCGCAGCTCCTCTAGAAAGCTTCTCTCATCAGGTCAAACTCTGGTTTGTAAAGACATTACAAACCTCTCATTAATTACAGCAGATTTTTGAAGAGCACAGTGAAAAAGCCAGACGAGCTCAAGAGCACCTTTCTTTGTGTTTGTTCTGATGAAAAAACACAAGCTGAGTGGCTTTTGTGTTGCTCTGTCCCCCCTCAGTTGGAGATCCGCCAGCGTGGGCGAGTCTCCATGCTGGAGGTAAAACTGACATGAGTGGGGAGAAAAGAAAAAATGACAGCAACCCTCACCCCTCCACAGCTGGAACTGCCATTAAATCCCGACAATACTGGCCTCTTGTGTAAAGTTACTGGTTGTTTTAAATGATCTTTCCTCTTTAATTCCTCAGTCTGCTCTTGTTGTCAATATCCGGGCATCTTCCCGGCCAATTAACTGAGCTGACGACAGCGTGAACACTTCAGAGGGAGACGACTGTCATGTGATGAAGGCTGAATAAAAAAAAAAAAACCTTTTTTAAAGCCAGATTTTTCTTTCTACCTCCCAGCTTGGCGCCAACCTCCTAATCCACTTACATGTCTCTGCTTTGTTTCAAAGTCACCATTCAGCTAATTACACTGCGTTTTTAATTAACCAAAAGAGCGAAACGGTGCTGGGAATCTCCAGAGACCCCTGCTCGCTGCTCTGTTTGGGCTTTTTTTTTGGCGTGTTAAACAGTGTCCGTGATCAAATACGTTTCTCCTGATGAACGCACATTTGTTCAGGTTCCATTTCAAACCAGAGATGCGAGCGCGGCGTAACATCTCGTTCCCGCTTTGATCAGGGAAATGTTTAAATCATTGAGAATTATTCAGCTATATTAGCCCTATCTTTACTGTCTCCTTCCTCCTACTCTCCCACCTTCTCTTCTTCCTTCCTTTCCTCCGACTCAGTGATAAACACCGTTGGATAATGAAGTTAATGGACGAGACTTCCAGTCACTGGAAAAACAAAACTATTAAAACTAGTTGGTGCCAAAATGTCCGCACTCTTAAAATGAATCAGACTGCACTATAGAATTCTAATTCCCTCCACTCAGAGAGCGCTATGGCTCTTACATCAGGTATCAATGGATACTCAGCAGCCAATCAGAATAGAGTATTCACCCCCAGACCATGGTATAAGATCAGATTAGTAGTAGTCTTTAGGTAGCACCAACAGCAGCATCAGTGGTTTGATTTTATAGTACTTTGAGTCGTTTCTGGCAGCAGCATGGTAAAAAGAAACCAAAGACAGCTGTTTTAGTCCAAACTGAGTCCAGTAGTGCAGTGTTTCCTCTGTATTTGTGCTCAGACAGCCACAACACACAGGCAGTGTATGTAGTGCTGGGTGGCAGTAGCTTTAGTACAAAGTCAGGCAGGTTGTCAACAGTAGGAGACTGTCCTTTTCACCCTCCGTCTGCCGGTGACACAAACAGCCACGACCAGACGACACCGACGGCAATTAAAAAGGCCCGGAGAGAGAGAGAGAGAGAGAGAGACATTCAGACAGAGCAGGAAACGGAGAGAACAGACTGAGGTGTAGAGAGCAGTAGTGTTACAGTAATGAGGAAGAGAGGTGAGGACAGTAATTAACCGGAGGGGGAGAGGTGAGGGAGAGATGAAAGAGAGACACTCGTGGTTGGACGAAGCAAAGCAGCAGCCGTCGGTTCCAAATCTGTGATCAACGCTGAAGCTGCAGCATCAGGTTCTCGCCGGGTTCTCCGTCTGAAAAACATGTTACGTCCAACCGGAAGCTGCGTTGTGCGATCAAGTTGAAGAAGACTAATGAGAGAAAGGAGCAGGAACGTATGTCTTCTCAGCAAGGTCAATGAGACTTTAGTGCCAGAAGATGTGAAACTGACCTTTGAAAGCAGTTGTGAAAAGGTTGCAAAAGTAGGTTGTAGTCTTTCTGATGAGACCTTTCTTTAGCGTCATACAGCAAATATCAGCAGGATATTTGTTTTTCAAAATTTAGGACGAACGACCTCTTTTGGTGCTTCTTTAATTTCATGTTCTCCTTTTCAAGTTTAAGACACAAAGACGAACATAGGCTACAATCTATATGTGCATCCTTTTACATTTAACTTACTTGAAGTAGTAGTTTGTTGGAGTCACACACCATTAATGAGATAAGGATTGTGACAAAGTGGACTCATCTCTGTCATTTGTCACTTAGTTATGTAGGTATTTACTTGTTAGGTTATATTATTCATCATATACATTATATATACATTACATTAACCATAAATTCATTTCAGCTGGTAACGCACATGCACACTACTATCCCGGGTCTGTTTCGTGTTCAGCGTTATTTATTTATAATCTTCAACATCCATCAATCAAGGTTACTGACAGGCAAAGGTTGTTTTTTCAGTAATTTGTATTGTTCGTTTCATTATATATTTGGTTTGATTTAGCACATATAAAGTGAAATTATTTCAGTACATATCTTACCTGACGCCGAAAGCCGTTGTGTGGGAGGGGGCCGCCCCGCAATGTGCCGGTTAAATGACGTCACCAATTACGTCATGGACGTACCAAGTAAACGGGGAATAAGTTGTATATTTAATTCTGTTTCGTTCTCATTTTATGAATGGTGGGGAATATTGAGTTGGTGTTACATTCAAACGCCATTGGAAATTGATTGATATTATGGGTAATGATTTTTATTGAAGCTTGTGTCTTGGTAAAATATATCTGTAAATAATACCACCTGAAGTGAGGATGGTTTAATCCACATAAGAAATGTATAAGGCTCAGTTCTCTTGGGGAAGCGAGAGGAAAGGGGAGAGATAGATTGCGGCTTAGACAAGTGCTGTTAATTTGAATCTAGTATGAGTTGATTTTTCCTCAGTTTTTTGTAAATATGTTTAGTTGTTTTTTTGTTGCTTCTCACATTTTGGGAAGCACTTGAATAAATGCCCACACAAAGGTACTTATATCACAACGTCCTGAGTCTGCCTCCTACTTATGACCTACTCTGGCAACACCTATCTTACAAGGATACTAATACGATTCATAAGCAGGTGTGAATATTCAACAAGACTTTGAGATAAAGGCTAACAAGTGGCAACATACTGGTTCAGGTTTACTTTAAATGGTGGTCACACGATATATACTGTCATATCACACAGCCCTATAATGGATGAGTTTACCCTACAATTTCAAGTAAAAATGGCTGCTGTGAAATGGGCCTGTTGCATTATGTTCAGTCTGTGGACGTACAAACATCAGTCAGAAGACGTAACATTAAGAGTATTTCAATTAAGTTTTACTGTTATATAATTTATGTTAAATGTTTCCATGGTGCATTCAAAGAACTGTTCACCAGGCATTGACCCATAAAAAACAGAAAAGAAAATGTAAAAACAGGAGACATTTACAAACTTCAGTTTGCCAAAGACATCAGTTTGTTTCATTTTTAAAACAGTTTAATGTTAAACAAAACCTAATTACCTGAAGCATCCATTGGAAAACAGTTGAGATGAGAATGGACTCTAACTGTTAATGACACCAGTACCTCTCTTCGAAATGCAAATCAGAAGCTTTGCGAACAAAAGCAACTCCAGGTTACATTACAGCTGCTCCAGGTGAGGCTGTTAAACCATCCATCTGTGACGACAGCCAGATCCATCAGACCCTTGTTTCTCTGTCCTCGTTTTCTTTTCCCTCCACCACCTTCCTCTTATCCGTCCCCATCAGCGCGCAGAACCAAACCAAAGGCTAATGACTTGTTAGACTGCAGGTAATAAGAGCAGGGGAGGCTCTTCCAGCAGGGTTAGCAGGTAAAATTCTGCTCCAAAAATAATCCCGTGGATAATAAATTAACTCCAAACTGAGAGTTTGTCTCATTTATCATAATAAAGAGCATCAGATTCAATAATGCTGCACCTGGTCTTCCATTAATTCTATTTTTAGAAATTGCATAAGGCGTTGACATAGAGCGAGTACTTTCACCATATTTAGATCTGTTTTTGTGTGTATATTAATGTTAACTAATGTAACTATACAGTAGCTATAACTACTTACTCAGCCACCAAGAATGACACTAAAGTAGTCAAACGTCAGAATATGATGCAGTATCCAATAATTAAAGTGGAACACCATCGATGTTCCTCTCAGAGTGAGTTTCCAGTTTCACCTGAGTCAGCTGAAGACTGCAAGTTTGAAAAATGAAAGGCATCTGGGGGTGAGGAGTTAGAAAGATGTTTGATGCCTTGTAGTATCCTACCCGGTGTTATTCCGCTTACTGAGACCTATAAACGTTTGAACATTTTAAAGTGAATGTTAACATGCTAACCAAGTACAGCTGGGCTGGACTTTGCCTTTCCAGGCCTCAAGCCACTGTATGTGCTTGTGTCCAAACCACAGTGGTTTGGACCAATCGTTGTCCTTTGAGGGACTACTGGCGACTGCGGCATGAGCAACCGATGTTGCATGGTTACCTTGTGATTGACAGGTCATTGTCAGTGAGTCCGTCCAGCTGAGTGCACCAAACTCAGATCAAACTGTCAAACTAGGCAGTGCTAATCAGATATGGATCCAGATTCTGTTTGCTGCGTTGACTATTTCTCTCCTCAAATCATTTCAGAGAGATATTTTAGTATAGCCATGCTGCAGCCAATCAGGCACACAATCTTATTTACTTACAAAAAAACATAACTACAACGTTAAGTGAACACCGAGGGTGTTGAATGCAGCCGCAACGCTCTTTTCTTCTTAGTTACAGTTTGAAGTTATAAGGATCTTTGATCTGATTGGTTGACGTTCTCCTGGGATACACTGAGATCCCAATACTGGTAAAGATCTGAGAATAGCGAAGGTGTTTCTCTATCTTTAATCCACCTCTTCCAGCAGTTTTGCAATGAGCCAGAAGCCTGGTATAGACATTGAGTGTCTAACAGCAGTTGTATAATGATGTCTAACAGCATGTTTATGATAAACATCGCAACATGCCATGTTTTCTATTATCTGAAGTGTTATGTGGCAGCCTCATTGCTTCTGAATAAGCTGCAGTAAATTGTACACAATATCCCTTCTAAGCGTCCTCAGTCGGGATCCCATCATTCCTAAAAACACCATTACCTGACCTGGGAAGTTACATTACATTCGTCGCTGTGTTTCTCAGAAAATAACTGCCCTCCAAACCTCTTATCAGATTCTTTCAGTGATGCCCATGATCCTCAGCTCACCTCACAATCACTCTGAAGTCTGCCAGTGCCTGAATGGTCCATTACCACCCCCCCCCCACTATATCACATCCATTTCAGCTCCTCTTCTGCCTCCATTTTGTGGATGAGAAGTACCAGAAAATAGTTTGAATGTTGATTGTATTACTGTCTCTCTCATTGAGTCCCTGTAGCACAGCTGTGTCTCAACCCCAGAGGCCGTGAAAGATGTAAAACACTGTAAAGACTTACTTGCACAGTGTTTCATCTTACCTATGTAATCTTGTTTCCCAAAACCTCAAACCCCTCACTGGAAATCCAGGTGAAGCCATTTGAACTAGTAATCACTCTGAAGCACAGAGTCTCAGATAACAGAGATACTGACTTAATATTCAGTCTGTGGGTTACTCCATAGACTTGATAATGGTTTATATGGCCTGTCCACATAGTTTAGTGCACAAAGCGTTTAAGTATTCAAGAAGGCTTTTGCATTTCTTGAGGTGCTTGTCTGTTTCGGAAAAGCTGCTAAAATGGTTGGACACAGCCACTCCAATAACAACATCAGAGAAGTTTCAGACATCGTTAGTCAATCTGAAAAACACTTTGTCCTCCATCCTGAGGCGTGAAGGTCTGAGGCTGCGTTCTTGTTTGAATGGGAACAAATCTCTGCAGACATTCAGTATCTGGTGAAAATACTAGAGGCAGATTAATGACCATGGTTTTAATGACATGTTCAGCTATTACATTACAGCCGTAATCTTTAGATGTCCATATGGTTTTTGGCCATATCAAGCAAGTTTGGCGAACTCCAGATGATGCAGCTGATGGTTTAAAATCCACACATTTCAGTTCTGTTTAGTTTATTTTTGTCTCTTGGCCCCACAATTCAGAATCATATGGGGAAGACCTGGGTAATTTTATAGCAGGAATCAAACATGCTCCAATGAGCAGCTTCCATGGGACTGAAGTCCTGAGTCCAACTGTATCCTGTTCTACATCAAAAACGGTTTTCTGGCAAAAAAGTTCCATTTAGTAGCTTTTCTAGAGTTTTCTATAGTATCACAGGGATCTTCCAAAAAAACTAAAATCTAGCAGATCTGTCAGATCTTACTGGACTAACTGCGAGAATTTAGTGTTCCAGTAAATCCAAGTGCATAATTCAAGTATCTGCTTGAATTCAGTCCATTTTTAAAGGTCAGAAATATTATTATTAAAACTTAGGTTGCACAACATAACAGCACAGAGGCATATCTGCCAGTGAGATGGAAGTGGACTGATGCTCACATATTTCTTTATGTATTCCTGAGTGGTATGAACACAACAGACAGTAAATACCTTTCAGCAAACACAGCAGACAGATTCTTAATGTCTCGTCTGCAATTACAGGACCTGGACTCAAACTTGTTTTGACTTTAAACCCTTTAACCTGTCAGAATGACATGTTTTCAAATCTCTCCAACAAATGAGCTGCAAATCCTTGTGACTTTTATTTACAAGCACTGGTTCTGTTTTAATTGGATAGCTGGAACATAAATACAGAATGCAACAAAGTCCACTTTTTCAATTAAGCTGAAGAAAACAAACGAGTCTTTGGTCGGGACTCTTGTTTAAGTCACAGGCTGTAATTATGTTGGTATTATAAAGCATAATAAACCTAATATTATTCATAGATTATTTTATGTTTTTATAGTTAGATTGAGGCTATCTATAATTACACCTCACAGAAAATAATTGGGTTTCTTGCATTCAAAGCAATTAAACATGTGCATCAATAAAGGAAGCTTTTTTTAATGGCCTATATGAATCCTGGAGTTAATTTGGCTTTGACACTGTCATTTGTTTTTGTGCATGGAAACTCCCTGATCACAGCTCTTAATTAACATGGTAAAGTAAATAAACATTATTTTGTTCATCAGATGCTGAGTTGCTCAGGGCGAAATACACGCTCACCATCTCCAGCCTCTCAGGAAGTTCCTATCAAACAATCAGTCAACCTCTTCTAATTAGACAAACTGCACAACGAGTGAGGTCAATCGCGTCTCCTTTGCTGTGTCTCTGCAGGAAATCAGTGACACAGAGATCCTGGAGCTTACCCACAGTGCCCTGGGGCGCATGACGGTGATCCGGCAGATCTTCCCCATGTGGAGGGACAGCAGCACCCGCTGTATGAGACACAACCACCGGATCTCCTCGCTGCTGTGTGACCCGCAGGAAGGATACCTGCAGAACCTGGAGGTAACAGACTGCTCACACTGTTGTTTTGATTGATAAGTGCTTGTTGAGTTGGGTGAGTTGCTGATTACTGATGGTCAGGGTTGAGCTAGTCTTGCAGTTCCAGACAGTCGGATACGAATAATATGGATATTTCTACATCCAAGGTGGTTGCCTGAACTGCCGCTAACAAACATACACCACTTACTTTTTTTTTTAACTCTCCAATGTTTCCAATCAGTTTTAGCAAAGAAAGCTCGGAGAACGTCTTCAGGCGTCACTCATTATTCCAGTTTTTCGTGGTTTTGCAGCGAAACCTCAAAAGCATCTTGATATTGTGGCAATCACTAGTTGCATATACTGTATTCGCCTAGAGGCTGAAATTACATATGTTTAAGTAATTAGGGGTTACAAATTATTTAATTAAGAGTAGAATAAAAAGCTAATTAATGGCCAAAGAACAAATCACAAAATATGTGTTCAAATATCACCTGAATGTTAAACGAGGAGACACAAAGTCTAAGAATAGTAAAGTTTTCTCAGGTTTGTTACGTTACAGCCTTCACAGCGTGGCTTTCAGTCTGCAGTCATTATCCTGATTTTATATGTCGATATTCAGTTTGTGTAACGATAAAAGTTTACCAGTTCCAGTGAATTTGGCCCCTTTTTAATATTTAGTGGCAGCTGACATCCAGAGGGAACAAGATAAACACATACAGATACATACAAAAAGTACAAATACACACCTGAAGTGTGCGCGCGCACACACACACACACACACACACACACACACACACACACACAGAGGTAACTGGACTATTATTTCCAGTTATGAAATATGACAGTGATGTTCGGCTGACATTTAAAGACAAACAAACAGAACTATTACTGTACTTCACATTGACAAATATTGTGTGTCGTGTTTTGACATTTGTAGAAATGAGTGTAGTTTCCCACAAGATGTCTGATATCGCGGCCGGGAAAACCCACCAAGGACATGCGCGCACACACACACACACACACACACACACACACACACACACACTGTATTTCTTTTGTGTTTCTTTCTTTTGCTCTTCTCTTTCCCTTTATTTATTTATCTCTTCTATCCTCGCTGTCTCATGTTTCAGTTGTCTCTTGTTTATCTCTTTTCTTCTGTGTTGATTGCTCTTTTCTTCAGATATCTTTTGGGGCGTTATTTAGCGTCCTTGCCAGCACGCTAGCATGACATGGTTGGTACCAGTAGATGCGTTAGGTCATGTTGTTTCATATGATGCCAGTATCTTCTTCAGCCTTTGACACCACAACACACCTGTTGATGGTTCACTTTAGATTTTCTGACTAGTCCCCGACAGAATAGCTAGAATTTAAAGTTGAGACTCATACATACGTCAGTGCCCCTACAGATTGCAGCTTTTCTTTCCCGTGTCTGTCTCTGTCATATGATTTTGTCCTCTTCAGATTCAGCTTTTCGATGACGAAAGAGGGTGAGGGGGAAAAAAGCACAAATGCTTTATCTGTGTGTGTGTGTGTGTGTGTGTGTGTGTGTGTGTCTGTCTGTGTGAGAGAGCCTTAGGCAGTGCGCTGTATGAACTTCATGCCAGTCAGCTGTACTCATCTGGACAGAGTGATGCTCATTTGTCACCCTGCATTTGGTCTCTGCTCCCTGCCTTGGCGTGTGTGTGTGTGTGTAATCTGTCACAGAGGAGAGGGTGAGAGACGACAGGATCACATGTGGACAGACACCCAGCACCACCCAGAGCTCATGGTGTTAGCTCAGAGCCAGCAGATGATGCTGTACCCAGCTGTGTCTCACATGTGTCCAGTGAGTCATGGGTGCTCTGATCTACAGACGTAGAACAGAGCAAGGTTGAACAGAGCAACGCTAACAAGCTGTCCACTCCTGTTTTTCACACATTAAACATTTCTATGTCGTCCTCTCTCCAGGTGTCCAACCTCTACCTGTACGACAGCGTGCTGATGCTGGCCAATGCCTTCTACAGGAAGCTGGAGGACAGAAAGTGGCACAGCATGGCCAGCCTCAACTGCATCAGGAAGTCCACCAAGCCGTGGAACGGAGGTTGGTCCATGCTGGAGACAATCCAGAAGGTACGGAAGCTTTCTGTCAACACACACTGCTTCCTTTTAGTCTCGTGGTGCATTCAGGGGAGCAACGGACCACGACACACTGCTGCTGCCATTTCATTTGTTTGTTAACTCAAAGGTCCAGTGTGTGGGGTTTAGTGACATCTAGCGATGTAGTTGCAGATTGCAAATTTACAGTGGCCGCAAAACACGCCAGAACAACCCAATCTAGAGCCAGTGTTTGATTTGTCCTTTCTGAGGTACAGTAGAAACATGGCAGACTCCACAGAGGGCAACCTGTGATGTCTATAGATATAAAAAGTGAATTATAAGGTAACAAAAACATAACAATTATACACTAATAAAAACATTATATACAATATATACCTTAATTTCACTTTATCCTGACAGTAGAACATGAGACAGATACTGGCTCCTCATAGTGCTCCTAATGGCATCTGTGTGAATCCACCGGGCCCCAATGAAAATAACCAATAAGAGCCGAGAAAGATAATTGATTATTGAGTCTCATTCAAATTTGACTAAAATTTATCTGCGTCTTTGCAATACTGACAATCGGTGGCAATTCTGTATTAGAAGCCACCGTCTTTATTGACAGCTAAAGTTAGCCAAATTAGCATATTCATAACTTTATAGCCTAGCTTAAGTTATATCCAAAGTTACCTGATACATCTAGTCTGTGCCGACACAAACGACGAAGATCACTCTCCCATCCATCGTAGTTGTCAGTGTCCGACAGCAGTTGCTGCGCCTCGCGTAGGAAAAGGTTGAAGCAGATTTGACATGGGCGGACGTGTGCCTGAGACGAGGTTCGTTATCGCCCAAAAGGATTGTGTTGCAGCCGGTTTCGGAGCCCCCGACTGCAGCCGTCTCTCTCAATATGGGACCAATTAAAAAAAAACTGTTGCCCTCATTAGTCACTTTGGCACAAAAACATGTGAAATAAGCTCTAGGTTGAAAAATAGCAATTATCCTTGAAGCACCAGTAGCCCTGATTCACCTGGAGTGTTTGAAGGAATCCCTCATTTATGATTCAGTCGTGGTTATACAAGTATGTATAATTAGAATTTGTATTTTTGGTATCGCAAACAGCAAAAATAAGTGTTCACTGAGGCTATTTTTGTTTCAAATGAAGCTCAGATTTGGCACGTTCAGACTTGCTACGTCGAACTCTCCTGATCGTTTATTTCTTCAAGGCTGTTGAGCTGATTAATGACTCGTTAGCTTACCCAATTCCCTTGATGTGTTCTGTAGCATTCGAACAGAGAAAAACTATATTGAATCTGTCTGATCTAATATAGCTGAAAATCCTGGAGTTGGTGTTGTTTCCTATTTAAGATTTAATTGAAAACGAACCTTTGAAGACTGAGGAGAAGCGTGCGGAGGAAGCGCGATTAGATTTATACCAACATTAAATAAAAGAATAAATGACGTCTTTGTTAGCAGAAGATAAATCAAACATGAAACTGCTGCTGGTGAAACATGAAACAAGAAAGTCATTCAGCGTAAAACCCTGATCTAAATTACATCCAACGACCTGTAGTCTCATTCTCACAGTCTAATTGGTGAAAGATGCTTCTCAGCCGCACTGATGAGTCCCTCAGAGCTCGAGTAGTTCTGTTTTATTAAAAAACATCAGTTTATTTCTTTGATATCTCTCATGGTAACGGCCTCCGAGCTCGTTAGTAATTTTTCTTTCTTCCTCCTGTTTAATAAACTCATGTATGTAATCACAAAGAACGCTGTTGCTTTGTGTTCAGACGAACCACAAAACCTTTACTGATGCAGACCTTTGATACAATAGGTGTTTGTTTTTTCATGATATTGACAGAATTACCCAGAATCCCAGTTTATTACTCCGACAGTTCTCCGACTTTCTGTCAGAGCTTACGGATGTTAACGACTGCTCAATGTGGATTTCTTTTCTATGTTTTCTCTGTGTTCATGGCTTGTTTCCAGTATTAGAAAACATTGCACGCTGCAGTCTGTTGACTACATTTTATGTGAAAAGTCGTCTGTTCATTTGCTTGAAATCAGCATAATGTCTATTCAATTTCCTGGCAATAATTCGACTTGGAGCCACAACAAGAGCCACAGTAAAACAAGTTAAAATGCAGTATTTTTGAAGAAAATCTTGAGCTAATATGGACTGTTTTAGTTGTTAAACCGAAACCATTAGCAAATCTAAACCAAACAGCAATTAAAGAAAACGACATTTCATCCTAATAATTGCCCAATCTGACAGATGTCAGGTGACGTGGTTTAAGTTTATAAACATAAAGTTATGAAAAACTGACATTTTCCTTTTACGGTACCAACATAAACACCTAAAAACTTTTCTATTCATCTTTGAACCCTTCCTTTTTCATGTGTTTTGCCACTGTGTCAGAAAGTAATTTACTCTAAATTGTATATATTCTGTTTTCCACATCTCAAATAGGGAGCAATATTTCCTGTTTTTATTTATTTATTTATTTCTTTGAACTTGAACATTTCCACTGGCCGCCATCTCACTCACTACTTTGCTGATGAGATGGAAAATGACTTTGTGAGAGGATGGCAAACACGGAGTGAAAAATGGACAGAGCATCACAAGACGTAACCTTTCTTCCTCTGTTACAACAGTGTGTATATCGAAGGCAGTCAGGAGCCGAAATGAAAGTATCTGAAAAAGCACTGCTACTCTATTCTCATAATGAATAGCACTTCTGCTATTTCTACACCTGTGTGGTGTCACTGTCTGCCATCTGCTAATGAATGACGGTGCACATACTGGTTATACGTATCGGGCTAGTTTGCTCTCCTACTGTCTGAGGTGCAACATATGGCGCAATTAAACATGACAGCTGCTGGACAACTCAAGAGTTTTGCTACGACCTCCACAATCCTGTCTGCACCAATCACTGACTCTGACAGTTCGGTTTATATTAGCTATGAGTTACCAGCTAACAAAGTTCGGCTCAGGTCGGGCAAAGGTCCATTTTAGCGGTTTTATTCAGGTTAAGTTACGTTAAGCAGGTAAAACACTGGTTCATTTAAGCTAAGCTCAGTTCAGTTCAGTTTAACATCTGAAACAGTTTCAGTTCAGCTAACTGTTCGGATTAACAGTCTAACAAGTTAGGTCAGTTAGCTAACCCGCTTAGTTTAATTGCTATAACAGTTATATAACTAGAACAGTGTGGTTCACTTTAGCTAACGCTTTGGATTAACAGCTAAAGCAGTCCAGATTAGTTCCAGGTTTTGGTCCTACAATGACAAAAACTTTCCAGGAAAGGGTTGGATTTGGAAGTAGAGGTAAATAGCTGTTTGACACTTCCTTGACTTTGAACTCTATTTTGGAATAAATGTTATTATATATATATATTATATATAAATAATAGTGTCATTCTGTTCTTAAAGAAATACTGCATTTTAATCTGTAACTTTCAGTTTTATTGCTGCTCTTACAACCTGCTTCCCTTGCAAATAAGTTTTTCCATCAGAATTAGACGAACTGACAGTTCACAAAACACTGCTCTGTTGTACAAATAATCAAATGCAGGAAATGGAGGACTGGAAGCATCACTGACTTTGTAGCAAGCAAACATTATCAAACATTATTTTTCCACCAGGTGACAATGACTGCGACCTTTGCAGCTGACAGACGAACATTTAGCTCGTTGGCCTGCAGTGAAGGGGGTCTTCCATCTTGCTTTACATCCTTCATGAACAGAAGGGAGTCATGAAACGACATTTCATCCATGGCCTTTCAGCGGGACAGCACAGCAGCTGAATTCAGCTCATTCAGTTAGACTCTAATGGTATTTTATGACATCTCATACAGCTCTAAACACTGTTTGCCGCTGTATATTCTACATATAAGACACGGAGACAGTTAATCAACAATGGGGGCTAGAAAGCAGACATCCACTGATTGTGCATTAATAAAGCTGTACATTGATGACTAAACTAATTATTAATTCAAACCTTGTTGAACCCTTGTTGAAACTGCTGTGATTATTCGTTTTCGTCCAAAAGAATTGCATTTTTGGCGGCCGTCCCATGCTGCAAAACAAAAATTTGGCAGTGTCTCGCACATGGGCGTGGCAAAATGGCCCATTAAGTGCAGCCTCCGCATCACATTTTACCAATATCTAGGAGAATCGGTGCACACGTTGCTCATATCCAGAAGAACGAAAATGCCTCTTGGACCTAAACTCCAAACCCAACAGGAAGTGGGCCATTTTGAATTTAGTGGTCATTTTTGGTGTCGTATTTTAGTGGACTCCTCGTTGGGAATTGATCGGATCAACTTCAGATTTGGGCGGTATATTCTACAGGCCATAACGATTAAAAGATGTGCTCCTTGTGATGTTTTCATTCAACAGTGTTTCCATGGGGTGGCACTGAATTTCAAAATAACAGGAAGTTGAACATTGAAGTTACATGTCAAGCCTTATACGTCAACCGTCACCTGATTTACATGAAATCTACTCGGTACTTGACGAGACCGCCACAAACTTGCAGCTTCTATTAGGTCTGTATTTGTATTTCTTTGACTGATGGGGATTTCTGTGTGTTCAGTGCGCTTCGTACCTCCGTTGGGGTCGTCAATCTGACATCAATATCACAGTTTAGCAGCTCACAAAGCCTCATGGGACGCAGCCTGATATTAAAGGTTTATGGAGGGCAGCAGCAGGAATTTCAAAGGTCACCGCAGCAAAACTCTGCAGGCCTTGATGAAGCTGTTTGTCTTTTTTCTTCCAGCGTTTACCAGATTTTCTCTCTTTCCTTTCCTCACCTCCCTCTTCTACTATTTTCCCCTTCATTACTCTTTTTGACCCCTTTTTAATATCTCCTCAATGTCTTTTGCACGTCATCCCTCTCCCCGTCTCTGTCACTTCATTATATTTTATCTGCATGAACATTAAAGTTAACAATACAGGCGTAACCTCTTTTACAATGGGGATGTGATGAAGTCCATTTAAATAAAGGGGCCGCTAGGTTCTTCCCTTGTACCGGAAAGCGTGAGTGGACTCTGTCATAACAAGTAAATGTCAAATACAAGAAGGAGGTCAAGATAAAGCAGACTCAGATGTTTGTTATTGTCAAAATTAAAGTTTAATTTCTACATCCCTGCCTCTCTTTTGCTCTCTTTCACCCTTCAGGGCAACATCACAGGTCTGACAGGTACGATGGATTTTAAGGACAGCGGCTCCAACTCTCACGTTCAGTTCGAGATCCTCGGCTCCAGCTTCAGCGAGACCTTCGGCAAGGACATCAAGAGGGTGAGTTCGCAGCATTTTCGCTTTAACCAATGACCTGGAAATTGGTGCAGAGGCGACATCGCCTACGTGTGTCAAACCTAGAACAGCTACAGCCTGATATCTGGACTGAACAGACATTTTGGTAGCACTCCATTATTCAGTCTGATTTTGCCCTCTTGGCCTTTTTTACGTGGGAGGAGGATTTGATTTTGCCAGCAGCTACTGTAAGCATAAGTTAACTTTAAAGAGAATGGAAGTCGACTTGTTTATGAAAATGTTCTGGTAAATTATGTATGATGTCCTGATGAGAAAATAGATAAAGGCACAGCTGAAAACTTTCCACAAGCTTCCCCAAGAAAATAACAGTCAGGCTGGCTAATGTTTGCAAGCTAGTTAAATTAGCTAATTAGATTTCTTAATTACAGTTGGTCCTTCTCCTGATTTGACTATGTTCCCATATTTTTTGTATATTACCTACAATAAAACAAGCATAACATTGGCTGTGATAATGTAATGCCGGTACAGTATCATAGATAACGTTTGCTACCATAGGTAGCTAGTAGTAGCAAGTGAGCCAGCATAACAAGACTGTATTTAGCCGTTATTATGTGCTCTAACAGAAACAGACAGAATAATAAACTCATGCACGTATTTAATGTAATCAATATGTTACATGTAGTCCAATAAACATACGATTTCAAATTGCGATTCAAATTGCTTCATGGGGGTCTGCGAGGCCTTCGTAATTTGAAGCTGTAATAAAAAACTTTCATAGTAGTCGTATATCTCAGTATATAGTTCACTTCTGTGAAGAAAAGTCAGTTTTAAGTAAATTGTCTAATAGAACAATGGCCAAGCATCAAGAAAACACAGAATCAAAAGGTTCCTCAAACAGGAAATAATCTGCTCAAAGTTCATCCAAATCACTCGATTTACACAAACTTCGTGCAGTTACTGAGTTCATTATTTGGTTTAATTGTACAGTTTGTAGTATAATATGAAATATCTAAAATATATTGCTTTACTCAATGAAAGAGTAAAAGGGGTCCCTTGATGAAAAAGGTTGGGAACCACTGATCCAAGATAACGTCATATTTATTCAGAACAGCCTGAAACACAAAAACTGAAGCAAACATTCATTCATACCCATTTTTTAGCTTTCACACACAACACAGCTAATCACGCTCTCACTTCAACCTTGGTGTGTTTGTTCAGAGCCTGACAGCAATGTCTGAACATTGGAGGATGCAGGCTGCTGTTGTTGTTGTTGATGCAGTTTGATGTTCTTAGTCATCATGTTGGACAACTGGGTCAGAGCTTCTCCAAACCTGCAGCTCTTGTGGGGTGTTCCCGGTCTGCAGATGTCAGTACCGATCAAAAGTGGTCCAAGGAAGGAACAGAACTGGAGACAGGGTCATTGATGCATGTGGGGAGTGAAGGCTGGCCTGTGTGGTCCGATCCAACAGACGAGCTACTGTAGCTCAAACTGCTGAAACAGTGAATGCTGGTTCTGATAGAAAGGGGTCAGAACACATAGTGCAGAGCAGTCTGTTGGTCTGGGACCAGTAGGGGTGCCCGGTGCTCATAATGTTAGTGCTGATCAGTGTATACGACTGGTCAACGGGATATGTTTCTAGTTCCCTCTGCTCAGCTACAAGACCACTGTAGTTTGTCCTACATGCTTGGAATGGGAGAGTGAAGCGAGGGAGTTTCAATCTGCAACTACACAACTAGACGCCACTAAATCCTACACAGTGATCCTTTAAACCCTCTACAAGGACGTGTTGGCAGGCATGAATAATAACTATATAGAAACAGATGGTCTTCTCTCTGGTGGTCCTGTTTGTTTATGTAGGTCAAAAAGAGGCATCAGTAGGGTTCCCACACTTACTGGAAAACCTGTAAATTTAGAGAGAAGTTTTCCAGTCATGAAAACACCTACAAATTGATTCGAATGAGCAAATATCCTTGAAATAATCTGTTTTCCTGGAATTTTTCAACAGCCAAGCGTGCCACGAGTGTCCCTTAAACAGTGACCACCATTTGTAACTGATGTCCTGTATTGTCAAGAAAAAGTCCTGGAAAATGTCCTGGAAAGGTCCTGGAGAATGGTTTCATAACCAGTTAAGTACCTGGTCATATATCAATGTGAAGCGATCAGGATCAGAACCGAGCAACGCATCAAGCCATTGTTCCACCATCAACGGGAGCTGTAGCTGTTGAGCGGTTGGATTTACAATCCTGTGTCTTCCTTTGTGAACTGAGTCATTTATGCAACAGCGAGCTCCAACAGTTCATTAATTTTTCCAATTATTGAAAAAGTTGTTTAACTGTGACGCGTTAACCTTGATTAACAGTGCCCCTGTTTAGGACTGCGAACGCTCGCCCCCCTTGCCATTAAACCAATCAATATTTAACAGGACGAATGAGGTTTTAATTAAGAAAAGTTTTAAGTCGTCTTCTTGTAAATGTATGTATGTGCTAACGAACAGTAGATGAGTCAATACCGAAGAGCAGCGGTATAATTAGACAATATGCACGATGTCACTGCGTATCAGCATCACCTTGACCTCAGCGCTGATGTGTCGTAGTATTATTATTATTATTATTACAGTGTTGCCCTTACAACCTGTGTGTGACACAAGCGGCTGATTCAATCTTATTTTCACTAATTTACCGTTTATTTACAAGATGTGGAATAATAATGTTTTCATGTCTTATGTAACGTAGTCCAGCTTTTAAAGACAAAATATGTTAAGAGATCAATTTCAGACTTTTTCTTTTATTCTCCAAAGTGATGAAATCTTATAGTCATAAAGTAAATATGTAAAGAATGGAAAAGAAAAGGCAGCTGGCTTTTACGAGACGCATGAACCATCACGCACAGTTGACAGGTATGTCAATTTCAACGTCTTTTCAGCAGCTAAGATTGTAATTAATTATATTAATTTATATTTTATATATCGCTATAATGGTTGATTTTCAGGACAAAACAGACAGGATACGGGATTTTTGGGACATCTGCTTGTAATTCGGGACTATCCAGGTATTTTCTGAACCTCTGGTCACTCGAGCTACAAACAAATATCTGTATCGATCGATGTTATTTCATTTATATTTGTTCAAAGTGGGCAGTACGTTTACACCTGTACTGTCATGTGGTCGAGGTCTATCTCATTGCAATCTGATTCACCTAAAATCCATTTATTTCATATAAAGGGGGTCGAAGAAACAGAAGAGGTATACTGAGAGAAAAGAAACCAGCGGTAGAAATCAAACAAACAGAGACAAAGCCAGCAGAGATATTGGGGACATGAGGAAGGATGGATCACTGGTGGAGGGATAAAATCTAAAAAAATGTTTATTAATAACACATGGAAGTAAAGAAAAAACAGATTTTTCTGAACATAAGAAATCAGTTTACAGATGGAGGGAGCAGATTTTTCTCATTTTCGGTTTAAATGAAAGATTCTGTGAATCGAGTGGCTGATCGCTTCGCTCAAGTGAGTCTCTCCTCAAATCAGTTTTTAGGTTGAAAACAAGCGTTGCAGCCTCAACAAACCCAGAAATCTTTTTTTACATTTTTAGCAAAAGTATTGAAACTAAACATGTTTAAAGGAGTTTTTTTTGCACATGCACATGAGTTATCTTTATTTATACTCCGTTTTACAAGCGTACATAACAATTTAGATGATTTAGCAGCTTGCGGGTACTTTGTGTCAGTGTCAGGTTGTAAGGGCGGACACACAACCGCACGCACACAGACACAGCAGTTGCCGCAGTAATGAAGATTTAATCACCTGGCTTCTCGTTCTGAGTTATGAGTCCCCCTGTGTTACATAATGTCCACAGAATACAGGCCCATAGCTTACACACAAACCAATCCTCCTGCACAGACATAAATATCCAATATAAACACTCACACACATAATGAAGACCTCCCGGCTATAAGCCCTCTCTACGCGCAAATTAGCATGAAGACGTATTATCATTAACATACAATGCATGTGGGGTCTCTTGTGTACTGTAAAACATGCAGTGTTAATGTATCTAAATGTGGACCTTTTTCTATACATATCTGAGCAAAGTTTAATGCATGTAAGCACACAATGAACTCTATATGATGAATAAGTTATAAGATGCAGCCAAGAATTAGCTGTATTTAAAAAAAACAAACAAACAGTAAATTGGGTATTTTCTTATTAATAACTATTATTGAAGGAACAGTGTGTGGGATTTAGTGCCATCTAGTGGTAAAGTTGCAGATTGCAACCTTTTTAATACAGCTGGTAAATTTGCCGTTTGGGCCAAAATGAACACAAAAAGTCCAGTGGTCAATTTAGAATGAATGATGTGAGGCCAAATTGGCTTTGCTTTCTGTCAGAACACGTCAATGAGCTACATCCTGAAATGAAAGTGAAAGTAAAATAAGAGATGATTCAACAAAGAGCGTCTGTAAGTAGATACAAACAAAGATGCTTTGAAACTTTAGATCAGATTAGAATTGTGAACAAATAACCGTATGTCATCAGATTATTCAGGATAAATCAGGGACACACACTTATTATCCATCCAAATGTATCGCAAATTTTAACTGAATTTCAAGTTATTCTGCAAAAGGAAATGCGAATGAATGCTTGTTTCGGTGGATTATGTAATTATTGGGGATGGTTGATGTTGCGTTACACAGCAAACTCGGGGCTCCAGTTTCAGTGACTGTGTTGTTCTTGGTTGATGATGGAGCGAAATGGACCAGACATCTGCTCTGAAAACAAAATTAATTACAAGAGAAAAATGAGACCATCTGTCCTGAAATTCTGCTCTGAGCTCAATAACTGCGTCCACCTGTTTTGTCTGATCTGTCCGATTCTGGAGGATTACCTGAGCCAGAAAACTTAAACAGCGAGCTCCCTGTTTATCTCGGATCGACTTATTTCTCCAGGCAGTCTAAATCTGTTTGGGGAAGAGAAAGATGAGGCTGGCGTGAGGAAAGTTTTATGGAGTTATAGAGTTTCTGATGT